CCTCCTCCTCCTCCTCCTCCTCCCCCTCCTCCCCCTCCCCCTTCTCCTCCTCCTCCTCCTCCTCCTCCTCCTCCTCCTCCTCCTCCTCCTCCTCCTCCTCCTCCTCCTCCTCCCCCTCCCCCCTCCTCCCCTTCCTCCTCTCCCGAGCACAACCCTCATCCTTCCAGTGCGGGGCGGCTCTCCGCGTCGTGGAGAACAGCTCTGGCCTCGTAGCAGGGCTCCATGTTGGTGGCCTTCACGCAGCCCGCAGTGAAGCTCTTGGGGCCGCTTTGTCCTCCGGATGCAGCCGGGTCCTCGCACCGGCGCGGCCAAGACCTGAAGCAGGGGCGCTGGGCAAGCTTGCAAGACCACTTCTGATCAGGAGGAGGGGGGGAGTCTACGGGAAAACCCACTAGACGTACACAGTCACACTCAACAACAACAACAACAACAACAACAACAACAACAACAACAACAACAACAACAACAACAACAACAACAACAACAACAACAACAACAACAACAACAACAACAACAACAACAACAACAACAACAACAACAACAACAACAACAACAACGACAACGACAACGATAATGCGAATCACACCAACTACAACAACAGCAATAATAGCAGCAACCTCAATAACAACTGCAGCAGCAAAAACAGCATCAATAACAGTAACACTAATGGCAGCAACAACAACAACAACAACAACAGCAGCAACAGTAACAACAACAACACATATAATAACAGCAATAACAACTACAACAACAGCAACAACAGCAACGACAACATAATCAACAACAACAGCAACCAGAACAACCAAAACAACCACAACAACCACAATAATCACAACAACCACAACAACAATAACAGCAGCAGCAACAGTAACAGTAACAGTAACAACAACAACAACAACAACAACAACAACAACAACAACAACAACAACAACAACAACAACAACAACAAAAAACAACAACAACAACACTACAACAGCAACAACTACAACAACAACCACAATAACAACCACAAACAGGATGTAGAAACACAGGGTGCCCAGGAAGACAGTGCAACCGAAAAACTTCATTGGGCATCGGTAGGAAACCAAGAATGTATATCCGAAGCCCTCGACTCCTGCCGCATTCGCTTACGAACGAAATCCCGTTGGTGGGTGTCATGCCAGCTCCTGCGTAAATCCCGACTGGCGACAAGCGGGTCGGGCCGGCAGGCCCTCACGAGCGGGCCGGGCGGGCGGACCCCAACGGGCGGGTCGGGCGGGCGGGCCGTAGTGGGCGGGACGGGCGGGCGGAACGTCAGAGCGGGCGGGCTTCCAGGCATGGGAAAAGGCGGACCCTAGCAGGCGGGCTGGGCGGGCGGGCCCTTAAAGCACTCAGGTCGGGGTCGGCGGAGCGGGTCGGGCGGGCGGACCCCGAAGAACGGGTCGAGTGGGCGGGCCCTGATTCACGGGCGGGTCGGGCGGGTGGACCCGGACGGGCGGGTCGGGCGGGCGGACCCCAAAGGGCAGGTCGGGCGGGCGGGACAATAAAGATGGCAGCGAGGAAGTTCCAGGCGAGAGCGCGCTTCCTTACTTGAGAAAGCGCGATGCACATGTGAATCGCGTGGAAGTTTCAAGCGGGAACGTAACTCTTCAGAGAATCCCACCAGCCCTCTGGGCGTAGGTGGTCTAGAGCGGTTTCTCTTCCAATCCCTCCCTCTTCCCCTTCGGGAAGGGGTTTACCACTGCTCCCTATTAATATACACCCCCTCCCCCAGGAGACCAGCAGTCAACCAGGAACAATGAACCACCATCCCTGTCAAAAACCATACGAAGTACACTTCGGGGCAAAGTCTGGAGTCATGTTCGTGAGGCCCGCGAGCACTTTGTATTGTTTTTGACAGGATCGGCGGGGGTGTCAGCACATTGCCTGCTGCGCGCAGGGCTACCATCCCTGACAAAAAAATGAACAATGCACCTTGCGGCTAGATCTGGATCATGCGCGGCCACTCCGCGATCACTGTCAAATGGTAGCGTATGGCCTGCTGTGCGTTGGCCCACCAGGCATAATTATGGGCAATGGTATTCGACATGGATGGTGGGGGCCCACATGTTTCCCGATGTGCGCTGTCCCTTGCGCAGGCGCACCCGACAATCTGCACGTGCTCTGAACGTGGCGCACTTGGCGCGGCTGGAGTATGCGGCACACCTGGCGCACGCGGAGGCACGTGACGCATCTGACGCACCAGGCGTGCCTGGCACGCTCGGGTTCCAGGAGTGCCTGGCACGCGAGGCGCGCCTGGCACGCGTGGCGCACCTCGCCCCAGCGTCGCGCGCATGGGCTCGGTTTTGGTTCCCAGCAGCTGTCCATCCAAAGACGACCCCTGAACCTGCAGAGGATCGGGTGTTACGCGGGTGGGGGTGAACTAAACGGTTTGCAATCTACGAAGGTGTCTTGACTCCTCCAGAGCCCAAGATGACCTCCACGATGGCTCAAGATAGCCCAAGATGGCTCAAGATGGTTCCCAAGATGCTCCAAGAGGCCCCAAGACCGCTCCAAGACGGCTCCGAGTGGCCACAGAGCCTTCCCAGGAGGCCGCGAAGAGGCCAAAATCATTCACAAACCGGAGGAAGATCAATGATGTGTGCCGTCTCGCCCTTTCGCGTCCGATGGCCTTCCGAAGCCTCAATACAGCGCCAAGAGGGCCCCTGAGGGCCCCAAGAAAGGCCCAAGAGAGCCCCAAGACGGCCCCAAGAGCGCCCAAGAGCGCTCCAAGAGCGCCCCAAGATGGGCCCATGAGGCGATTTGCGGGGCTCCTGAGGGGGGAACGTAGTGGGAGCTCCCATATTGTTGGATCGATCTCCTCCAAGATGGCCCCAAAAGCACTCCCAAGGCTCCCAAGAGCGCCTCAAGAGGGCTCCAAGAGGCACCCAGGAGGCCCCAAGAGGCGCCCAACAGGCCTCCAAGAGGCTCCCAAAAGACCCCCAAGAGGCCCCAAGAGGCTCCCCGAGGCGCCCAAGACACTCCAAGAGGCCCCTGGCACCGCCAAATGGCCCCCAAGACGCCCCAAGAGGCATCCAAAAAGCTCCCAAGAAACATCCGAGGAGACTCTGAGAGGCAACTCGCCTGGGCATCGTTTCTGGACGGGCTGGTGGGGATACTTTTTAGTCAGCGGCCGCGGGCGAGCGCGCCGGCGGCGAGTCAGGTCAAACTGACTACGCAGAGACTACTTAGGCAGAGGAAACGCGAGAAAATTAAAGCAGAGGCGACGCGCAAGGCAACAGCTACGCGCCCGCCGAGGCCTCACGCAGCGGCCCAACGGCAGGTGGATGGCTGGAGGGACTGAAACTCAAGGGAACTGCTAGCGTGCAAAGCTGCAAGTCCGTCGGGGGCGCCAGAAGTCGGAAAATAAACGACGGCCAGGGACAGCTCCGAGAGAGAAAGCACGATACCGTACCTCAGACGACTGCGTGGGCACCAGGGTGGCCGTGGCCAACGAACCGCCAGTCGAGGTAGGAAGGAGAAATGCAAAAGCGAGGCCCCAGACGTCGGCGGGAGCGCGAGAACGCATAGAGACCGCACCCCCTGCGCAGCCTCCTGGTGTCGAGAAAATGCCGCGCCTGCCGTGCCCTGCACGCCTGAAACGCATAGAGACCGCCCCCCCGCGCACCCCCTTTGTTATCAAGGCATTGCCACGCCTGCCGCGCCCTGCACGCCTGCAACGCATAGAGCCACACATCCTGCGCACACCCTCTGGCGTCGAGAATGTGCTACGCCCGCCGTGCCCTGCGCGCCTGCAACGCATAGAGATCGCACCCCCCGCGCACCTTCCTGGTGTCGAGAAATTCCCACGCCTGCCGTGCGCTGCGCGCCTGCAACGCATAGAGGCCGCTCTCCCTGCGCACTCTCCCGGCGTCAAGAGAGTGCCGCGCCTGCCGTGCCCTGTCTGGTGTCGCTGCCGTGCCCTCCGCGCCAGCAACGCGTAGAGACCGCACCCCCTGCGCACCCGCCTGGTGCCGAGAAAGTGCCGCGCCTGCCGTGCCCTGCGCGACGGCAACGCATAGAGACCGAACCCCCGGTGCACCCCCTCTGGTGTCGAGAAAATAACACGCCTGCTGCGCCGTGCGAGCCTGCAACGGATAGAGACCGCACCCCCCGCGAACCCCTTCTGTTATCGAGACATTGCCACGCCTGCCGCCGTTGTGCTCAGCTGCGTCTCTGTACTGAGCTGAGCTGTGCTTGCCCACGCGCACACGCATGTGCAAGCCCACACACCGTGCACGTGGTATGCTGAGCTGTGCTGAGCTGTGCTGTGAGCTGTGCCGTGGAGGAGGGCAGGAAGGAAGAAGGAGGGAGGTTTGTGGGAGGAGACGCGGGTGCGACGCGGCAGGGGAGAAAACCAGAACCCCACGAAACATGTGGGGAAAAACCCTGAGAACACGTGAGGGGGATGGAACAATAAGAATCGCTTAGAAATGAAGTTCAACTAACAACAACAGATGTAAGACTGCACGCTCTTATTTGCCCGCGTGCCACTCAACGTAAACACCCTACCAATTGATTGCCGCCCTCTTCGCATACTGGCCAATCTTGCGACTGGGCATAGAATACATGATTCAAAAGATGATGTGACATCAGATACCATGAACCTAGCCTTACTCAGCATTACGCGCAGTATTGGGTACACCTACAAGTCGTCACGGCGCTCCCCCTGTATACGGTGATGCTATACCGTAGCTTTTTTCCTGGGGCATGGGGCTTGATTGGACCAGGACCCCTGAAGCGGGCAGAC